CATCTCGAATAAATGCCCTTCATGGCTTAAGGATCTGCTTAAATAAATATCTTCCCACAAATGCCCACCAGCTGGCTTCTGGGAGGCTGCACATTGTCCTCACCCGTGTGCCTGACTGGAAAAACGTGGTGATTTCGGAGTTTGCCTCCAAGGAGGACATCATTCAGGTGCGAGCAGCCTCGGTGCCCGTGCGGGAAGGGGGGTGATTTACTGCATGGCTCTGGGAGAAGCCTGCCCAGACTCCAAGTTACATTCCTCCTTCCCAAAACCTAGCTGTGCTTTATGAGGTCTAGTCTGCAACAGGGAGCTGCCGTTTCCAATGTCTTCTGACAACGAGTTGCCGTTTCCAAAGGCAGGAGACTGTCGTGGTGCTTTGCTCATCTCCTGCTTTCCGTCTCACCCACAGGCTGTGATCTGCAGCTGCTTCATCCCAGTGTATTTTGGCTTTATCCCTCCTTTGTACCACGGGGTGGTGAGTACCCTTCCTGTCTGAAGACCCTGTCCTAGGTCAGGCCAAGGGGTCCCTGTGTGTCCTTCCACCAGTGGTGGCAAGAAGGACATTAGTACCTCAGTGTTTGCCACCGAAGTTGCTTGGTGGTGTCTGCAGGGGGATGAACTGAACTCAGGTGTCCCACAGCCTGACCGTGCTGAAGATGGGACTCACCTACCCCCAAGAGCATCTACCTGTCCATGGGATCAGCTTGAGTACTTCCTGCTGCACCTGTCTCTCATTTCATTAAATACTAATTGTTTAATTGGATGGGAGGAGCGGGTGAGTGTAGACTTTGGAGCACATAGAGCAGTGGACAAGGTTGTTCTTTGGAGGAGGAATTTCCACAGACCCTTCCTATTTAGGGCTAGAGGGGAGGAAACCCTGTCTTCATCTCACTTGTGTGACCCCCCCTCATCTCTCTGGGAACACTCAGCATTCCTCATTTTCTCTCCTAGCGCTACATCGATGGGGAATTCGCCATGGGGCAGGCCAGCTTCGTGACCGAGGCCACGATCACGGTGTGCCCGTTAACGGGCGAGTACGATATCTGTCCCAGAGAAAACCCAACTGCCTTTCTTTTCCTCCAAGTCTCCAGTTTTCTCATGCAAATATCAAAAGCCAACATCTACCGCGCCTTGTGTGTTTTTGTGCCTCCCACATGTCAAGTGAGCTGCTTCTACAGGTACCCTGAGCCCCAAGGCCCTTGCAGGAGGCTGCTCTGCCCTGACCCTGAGCTTTCCCCTGCAGATTCTGGACTGGTTTTATTGCCGTGGCTACATGGACACAGACTCCTTTTTACAAAGACTAAGTAAGTGGTTGCAAGTGAGGAGCAGGTAGGTCAGCATGATCCTCTGCTGAGGGAAGGTAAGAGGTGCTAAGAGGGTCATACTGGACAAAAGGCCCCCCTGTGTTCCAGGAACAGACAGGATTACTTAAGTCCCATCCTCCATAGCCTCTCCTGAAGCCCCCTGTACACTGCTTCCCCTCTGGGAATTCCTACGGGGAATATGTGAGGTCCCTTCTCATCCCCTGCCGTGGGCATGGTAAAGCTTTCTAGGGAATATAGGCCCCAGGACCTAAACAGCAGCTTTATAAGCTCAGGTGCCCTGTGTGGTGTTAGACACCACACTGATGCTTAGATCAGCCAGACACTGTGGGTGTCAGTCCACTTATTTTCCACTTGAGCTTCGTCTCTGCTCGTGTTCCTGGAGATGTAGCTGATTCCCACCAGTGTGACCTGGAGTTTCTTCCCCCAGGTGAATTTGGTATAAGCTATTTTGCCAAGGATTTTATGTTCCTACTGGAGAATGGGGAGAAAGGCAAAGAGAAGCCAGCAACAAGGGCGCTGCACTCCAGAGACACAGGCCCCAAGGACATCGCAAAAGAAAACCCAGCGGTCTGGGCAGCAAATGGGATGAAAGAAGAAGCCCAGCAGCTGCTTCTGCATCCTCACAAAGGTAGAGGAGAAGCCCTTCCTTCACCTCAGAGGTTTTCAAGTGGCATTTACCTTGGGCTCCCTTTGCAAGAAAAGGCTGTCTGGTTTTGCAGGCCCCAGTAGATGAGAACATCAGGAGTGGGAGGGCGTCTTCCCTGGGGTGATGGTTGTTTTGGGTGACGTAGCTCTTTTCCCCTGCTTCTCACAAGCAAACTCACGACAAATGCTGCCTGAGCTTCTAGCTGGCCACACATCTCCCCCACAAATGCAGGGCAGATTTTAGGATGTGCCCCAGACAGAAAGGTCCTGTTGGAAAATTAGCTGTTTGTGCTCCCCTTTGCTAAAACTGCTTCCCTCCAAGGCCTGCTGTGGACTGAGTCCCAGCAGATCACATCTTTCACACAACTTATTCCCTTGAGGTCCTGGGAGGACATCTAGCCCTGCAGAGATGCTCAAAAGGCTTGAGGAGCACAGAGCTCAAGGTGGTGAGCAAGGGGTGATCCAAACACCGCAGCTGCTTTGCAAACCTCCGCTCCTGGTTTTTGTTACCAAAGGCCCAAGACCAGTAGAGGGCAGGTTTATGCTTAAGGTATCAATAGATGTTTCATGGCAGGAGATGTTTGCAGCCCCAACCTGCATTGTCTTGCGACCTCTTGCCTTTGTAAATTTATATTCATTTGTTCCCTTCTGTTTCTTATATCCACTGATTCTGCTTTTGCAGCTCCTGCACCTCCAGAAAGGCAGGACATGCCTGGACAGCTGAGCAAGTTCACCAAGGGTGTGTTAAAGTGCATTGGGTATTTTGGATTTCTCATCAGGAAGTCATTTACTGTCTTTGCAAGGTATTAACAGGTTCTGCCAATGCATCTTTTCATTGTGGTGAGGGAAGGAGCACAGTGTCTGTCATTTAAGGTGATCAGTCTTTGCCAAAATTTCTATTTAGCTGTCCCAGTGCACAACCCTGCATAGATACTTCAGTCTAAGAGCAACTTATTAGAACTGTAGATCAATCTCTTCCCAACTCAATTTTAAACAAAATAAGGCAAACTTAAATTCAAACCTTCCAAATTTTCAAAGTTCTGTGCAAAATAATGCCCCAGATAAGCAAGGAAATAATTCCGGCACACAATTCATCCCCATTTTCCTGTGCATTTCAGACTATCTTCAAAATTCTGTTGCTGCAGGAGGACCTGCACACGAGCAAGGCCCAGAGCTCATTTGCCTATTTATCCATCTGCCTCCCAGGACAGATGCGGAATGAGCTGCGCGCCCCTGATCCTAGGGGATCAGGATTCTCCCTTCCTGCAGCGCCTGGTGTCTGGCCTAGCTTTGGAGAAGCTCCTTCTGGCTCAGGTTATGTCTAAACCCTCCTCACAACCACCCTGTGCTGGGTGCAGATTAGGCCAAGTAGCACTGGAGCAGGGAAGGAGACTAGAGACAGTGTTTTTAAGGATTTTAAAGCCTGCTTAGCCTGTAGACAGCAGGGCAGAGGGTTGCAGCCCAGATCAGGTTTTTGAGTCTGGTTTGTCACACAGGAATTGTCAGAAGCATTTGAGACTATGTTTTTATACCCCTCAGGAACTTGCTGATCTTGGCCAAAAGAGCGTTTTGACCCAGCTGCTGCTTTTGCCCCCAGTTCATGGTTTGAAGAGACACAGAGCAACAGGAGGCCCAGCCTGCAGACACACTGAGGAGCACCCAGGGGCAGCAACCAGTGCCCGGTGCAGGCAGGGCTGCAATCCCTTCCGAATCCCCTTCAGATCCCTGTGGGCACCAGGTGATTCTGATTATCAACCCTTTAACTGAGGCATTTCAGGGGGAAGACAGTCTGATGCAGCTGAGTTTCCCAGCTGGCCTCTCCAGGGTGAAACTCCTGCATGAGGCGATTCAAAAGAGGTGCCAAACTCTGCCTCTCTCCATTGCCTCTGGCACAGCCTCCTTTATGCTACTAGTCCTGAGCTCACACAAGAGGCAACAGCAAGGTGAGGTGTCCTTGCTTGAGAAGGTGGGGGTTAACAGAGCACACAGCAGCTGATTTTTGGATACTAAGAGTTATTAAATATTTCTGTCTGAGAAAGGGCAAGGCGTGGAGCCCTCTTTCAACAATTCTGTAGGGATGCGCAGTTTTAGACATTCCTTGTAGGATGTTTTTTGCTAAATGTTCTCAAAGTTACCCTAACTGTCCATGACCAAACACCCTGCCCTGTACCTGGGGGAGATTAGACTTGCTTGTGTAGTTCAAGCTCCACTCCTGTTTATGGTGGAGATTTGCAAATAAATTAGTGGGTTTGGATGTCCAGCTCCTAAAAGACAGTTATTTTACGAGGATATTGAAAGTTTCTGTTTGAGTAGGGCTGCTCTGGGATGTCACAAGGGGAGTCAGGAAGAGGTTTTGTTGGAACCAACACAAATAACCACCCTGGTTGCTCCCAGCATGCTCAAAGGTGCACATTGCAAGGCCATTGACTTCAAGCAGAGACAGCAGAACATAATTATATCAATCTTTTACTGAGCATTCATAGGTCTGAATCTGTTTACATCAGTGCAGCCTTCAGTGATGTGAGTTCATGCCTGTGGTCCCCGGGGTGCTTTGGATGAAACTTCCCTCTGTGCCGTTTCCCTTGGTGCCATTTGATAAACAAGCTGCTTGCCCAGGTCAGTGCTGTGCTGGGGTGACCCGCAGCTGCCCAGGGCAGCCATGGACGGGGCACAGTTGGCACTGCCAGCCCATCAGCATCCGCCGTGCGTTTGGAACGAGGGATTCCGGGCCGTTTCACGTACCGACCAGCAACACAAGTTGTTTGCCTGGATAATACAATGCTCATAGCAACGAGTTATGGAAAATCAGATGGGGAGAGCTAATATAATTTCGAAATGCCAGCTCTCCTAATGGGAGATGTGTAGGCTAATGCTTTGAAGGGGCAGGGGGTTGTTCATTTTAAAGTTTCTCCATCCTTTTGCACTGCTGCAAAGTCAGAGGGGGTCCAAGAGTGCAAGCTCAAGCAGGCAGGAGAATCAGACCCCTGAGGTTATGATGAAATGAGTTCCTGCCCAGGAGGCTCTGTAAGACCTTCATCTTCTCCGCTTACTGAGTGTCTCGAAGCTTTTGAGGGAGAGGAAAACACTTAAAATGTGACAGTTGCTGGCGGGTGGGTGCCCTGTAATCTGCCCTTAAAGCAGGGCAGGGGGATGCTGCTGGTGACGGGCGAGTGGAGGGGCTGAGGAAACGGGCGGCTGGGCTGTGCGCGGGTCGAGGCGCCCGCTCCGCGCGCCCTTCCTCGGCCGTTATGTTAAAGCAGCTCAGGCCTGGGCAGGGAGGTGGCGGCAGCAGCATTTGCAACAGCCTCAGCCCATTTCCCCGAGTGAAAAAGCAACCCACAAAAGAACTCCCTAAAAACAGTGGTCATGCTGCGGTGTGAAATGAGCTCTGGTGTCACCCCCTGCTTCCTGGGATGGCAGAACCACGTGGCGTCCGTTGGAGAGCCCATCGGCGAGGGTTACCTAAGGGAACAAGCAGTTCAGTGGAGCAGGTGTCACTGGGCCAAGGGGGACAGGTAGCCCCAGGGCTGCTTGATGTCCTGGTTGGGGACGGATGTGGCAATAGCTGCTTGTGTTATAGTATCTTTACATTACACTCCATGCTGATCTGGAGCATAAGGGCTCGGTGCGGCCGCGTTGCGGCTCTGAGCCACGTGCTGCAGCCGCTCCGGCTGGTGTCAGGGTCTGAGAACATCCAGCTTGTTAAACGCTCTGAATCTATGAGGTTTAGTGCTGAATCCCCTAGGATTTTGGACGTGCCTGATGTGTTCTGCTAGGATAGAGCCAAACAAACAAATGTTCTGGTTCGTAGCTGCCACTAAATGGCAAAACATCCAGGGGGAGTGCAGGAGAAGTTAGACACTTTAAACTGGAGTACCCGCTTTTGGATTTTTTGGCCAAATTCAGCAGCAGTGACTTATTGGTGACATCCCGTGGGATTTCCCTGGATGTCCCCCTGCTTTGCAGCCTCCCCTGTTTTGAATCGCCCGGGCCCTCACCCCCTGGCTGCAGCTCTTCTAGGCAACGCAGGCACCATGTCCCGGAGGAGCTTCTGGAACCATTTTACCAGGGAGCTGATCTCTTCCAGCAATCCCCACAGATGCTGGAGCCTGGAAAAGCAAAGTCAAAGCAGGCAGAGCATGATGGCCAGCAGACAAACGCAGCCAAGCGCCAACAGCAAACGCCCGTTGCAATATTCTTCCTCCCTCTCTTTCACCAACCTCGTGCCGTCTCCCCACAGCCCCGCTCCTCTCGCCCTCTGCCTCCACACTTGGCCAGATCTCCACTGCTGATGCCCAGCCCGTGGTTTCCTCTGCCCCATCCCATTACCAAGACTCTCTTACCCCTTCCAGACCAAAGCTGGCAGCTTGTACGGTTGTAAGAGGACTTTGGAGAGCGGATCCTGCAGTCTGAACTGCTGCTTCCTCCACTGAGCCAGACCTGCGCTCGTGAGTGGTGGCACAAAGATCAGCCGTGAGAAGCAGCCCAAGAAATGCAATAATTGCTCTCATCCAGGAGCTCCCGCTGCAACTCAACCCATGGAGACTGGAGGCCAGGCCATGATCCAGCCTGTCCCGCTCTTGCAAGGCCTCTCTGGGACGGCACCTGCCCGTGGTTGCCCAAGAGCACTGGTGGCCTTGCTAAGAAATAAAAAGCCTCATCATCCCTATGGCCTTCTGGCTCCGAGAGGGAGAGAGGCAGCCAGTGCCCTCATGGAATCTGCCACGAGGCAGATCTAGAAATAATATATAATATCTTAAATATAACACTGCTCCATTCCAAGGCGGGAGCAGCTCCCAGGGGCCCCTGCTCTTCCCGCACATGCTGGCAAAGCGGAAGTTGCCATCGAAATAGTTCGTGCCGAAGGCGTCTGCGAGGCACAAAGGAAGGCGCTGACGTCCCCGGAGGTGTCGCGGCCGCCTGGGCGATGCTGCCGGCAGCAGGTTGCGCTTTCGGCCGCCTTTGCGGTCTCGGGGGGAAAACTTACCGTTCCTGCAGAGGAAAAGGGCAGTGTCCTGATAGCCCTGGAAATACATGTCATCCAGGACCTGCGAGGAGAAAGAGCCGGGCTCGCAAAGGCGTGCTGCGTCGGGGCGCTGGCGGGATCGCTGGGGAGGGTCTGGGGCTGAGTCCTTCCAGGGCAGGTGGTGGAAGGTGCTACCAAAGCGCTGGAGCTTGTGAGACCGTCTGCGGTGTCTGCCCTGAGGTGCAACAGGAGTGGGCACTGCCCCAGGGCTGCTCCCCTTGCAACCCCATCAATCCGCAGTGGGGATAGCTGCGAACCTTACGCCTTGGGTAGGCAGGTTCAGCACTGATTTGCTTTACCCAAAACAGAGCTGGGAAGGAGACGGGACGGGCTTACCACGGAGCTGGGTGGAAAGAGCGCGTAGCTAATGCGGCACAGGTTTTCTATGGAGATCTGAATGCTGCCGTTGAAGATCTGGAAACAGTAGAAGATGGCAGGGCAGTCGCGCGGACAGATATCGAGCTCCCCTGTGAACGGGGACACCGTGATCACGGCCTCCTCCAGGCTGGAGACGGGCTGCAGGCCGGTGAAGCCTCCGTCCACGTAGCGCTGCGGGACAAGAGCAGACGGAGGGGGCGTGCGGAGAAGAGGGTTGCTACAGCGTCACCAAGAGCCAATTCCAGTATGTCCAGTCTTCCCACTTGCAACAACGTCTCTTCCCACCTCTCACCCTTGATCCCTGCATCTCCCAGCTCCTCCCGGCACCCTGCCCATGGCCCCAGGCCTGGTCTTCAGCCAGGAGCAGCTGCAGAGACCCCAGCCCCAGTGAGAGAGGGGCCGTGAACCGAGTCTCTGCCCTTATATCCTGAGGCTATGATGGCACAGCAGCTTGGAAAGGGTTAGCTGTCACACTGAGCAAGGTGCTGTAATCCACAGCAGTTATTAACATAAAAATAGAACTTTTGTTCACACAACTTCATGAGATTGTTCCAGGAGTCACTAGCTGGTCAAACATCACTGAATTTATGGTGTTGTAGAAACTTCAAGTCCTCCATCTCAGGTTTGGTCTCGTTCTGTTTTTCTTGTGAGCTCAAGGAGTAGGAGACCCACATTTAATACCTCGCTTGCAAACTCTTGCAAAATAGAGGACTGGCTTGGCAAGAAAAATATCAATTGTTCGATTCTGACAGAAATCTCCATTTACCACCCACCTCAATGGGATGTGAAGTTGCAAAGGCTGCAGCTGATCCCATTAAGTGCCCTTGAGATGAAGGAGCAGAGAGCCTTGCATAGTAATGTCATAGAGTTCCAGGACTCAGGGAACATCTTCTGCAGTCTGGGTTAAGGTGCAGATCTGGGCAGGCAGCCAGTTATATACAATACAGGTATATCTGGGGGATATATCTGTTTTATACCAGCTGCAAAACTGCTCTCAAGGCTTTGTAGGCCTTGTTACGCAAGCAGGTTGCAACACATCAGCCCTGTATTCTACTGAGGGGTAGCTGCAAGCTCGCTGCAATTTGTTGTCTTATCGTGGTGATTCACAGCGTGTGAATGTGCATGTGCCTGGGGGAGGATTCCTCTCACAGACTTTTGGTATTCCCATCATATTTGTCCGCGCCTGAGCTAATGGAGACATCCGCACTGCTGACAAACCCTGCCCGGGATAACCGGATCGCACGTCCCGAGCGTGGAGAGCGCCGTGTCCCGGCACCCAGGCCCAGCAGTGGACGGAGCAGGAGGAGCCGACTCTCCAGATGGCGTTGGACAAAGCTGCAAGCTTAGGTTGCAATGAAGAATGTGCCTCAAGGTACCTAAGAAGATGCCTGGACATTTCCTTCCCTCTCTACTCAAGGGAATGTCAAGTTTATTCCCAAGAACACACCGCTGAGAGCATTGGTAGCGTTGGAAAGAGCACTCACCACACCTCGGTAGGACGGAGGGATGAATCCGCAATAGATGGGGAGGAAGCAGCTGCACACGATAGCCTGGGGGAGAGCGGGATTACAGAAGGGTTGCAGAAAATGTGTGTGTTTCCAGGGAGGTTTTTCTGAACAAAGGGCTGTTTCATTCAGGACATGCAAATTCAGGCGAGACAAATCACCTGGTTGCAGGTACCGCCTGGGCTCTGCACACTGCTGTGTAAAGAGGAAAAGTTTCAGGAAGGCCAAAGCACCTCATTTTAATAAGGCCGAAAGGCTTCTCTTGGTAAGGGCATAGCACATCATTTTCACTGTATAACTGCCAGCAATGTCACAGTTCTCTATCTGTATTTCCCTGTCCAAACGCTGCTCTTTGGCCTTGGGAAGGTGAAACTTTCAGGTCATTTTTCATTCTTGGAGGCTTTTGACAAAACCAAGACACTGTCTCAAAACACTTTGACTCTGCTGGGAGTTTTAATGTGGCCAGACCATCCTGCTGGACAGTTTGCAACGATTCCTCCCCACTTGCTTGAGCTGGGAGTCACTCTTTGTAACCAGCGACAGGGATGGCTGGGGTGAGCCTAGGGCAGGCACCGCTAGTGGAGTTTCAGCATCTCCGTGGATTTGCCATCCTCTATCATCTCCCCAGGACAACAAATCCCTGGTTCCCTTGGCGAGCTCCTTTGGGGTTTTACACTGGGATTCTTCCTCCAGCAGCTAATTCACAGGTTAATCAGCTGTTGGTGGTTTGGCAACCCAGACTTCTAATGCAGCACTGACCTCCCAGGAAAGTGCAGAGGCAACGAGGGAAAGTCCTGCTGAGAGGGGGAAGGGGCAGCACAACCAGCTCTTGGCCAAGGAGAGCCCCACGCAGAAGGCTCGGAGGACACGTTCACATGAACCCAGCTCTTTGCAAGGAGCCACTAGCACTTGCCAGAGCTCAATAACACGTCAGCTTGGGATTTCTGAGGCTGAAAGCAGGATCCTGCCATGCTCTGGCCCCAACAGCATCTCCCTCTGCGTTCCCGTCCCCTGCAGCCCTGCGGAGCTCGCTATGAGCTCAAGTCATCAGCTCCAAAAGAGCAGCAGGAGATCTTCTCACAGGCCCCCGAGGAAGGTCCCTTTACCTGAATGAGGTCCTCCTTGGAGCTGAACTCGGAGACCATGACGTTCTGGCCATCCACCACCCGCGTGAGGGAGATGTGCAGCCTCCCCGAAGCCACTTGGTGGGAGTTCTCGGGGAGCGTCCTCTGCAAAAGGCTCTTGAGATTCTCCACCAGGCTGCACTTGGGAGACAGAGGGCCCAGGATGGTATTCCTGATTTTCCTTCTGCTTGCAAAGATAAATTCCTTTAGGTCATCTGATGTAAAAAAGAAAAGAGAGAAAAAGTCATCATTTATGCTACCTTAATGGATATATTTTAACCCTGCCCCAAATTAAAGCCCTTTGCTGTCAGCAGCAGGATGCAGTAGGATCTGATACAGTAGCTGAACATTTTCATAGAATCACAGGATCACAGAATGCTTAAGGTTGGAAGGGACCTCTAGCGCTCATCTAGTCCAACCCCCTGCACACGCAGGGTCACCTAGAGCACGTGGCACAGGACTGCGTCCAAGCGGGTTTGAAGATCTCCAGAGAAGGAGACTCCACAACCTCTCTGGGCAGCCTGTTCCAGTGCTCTGGCACCCTCACTGGGAAGAATTTTTTCCTTAAGTTCATGTGGAACTTCTGGTGTTTCAGTTTGTGGCCGTTTCCTCTAGTTCTGTCGGTGGCCACCAGTGAAAAAAGGCCAGCCCCATCCTCCTCACTGCCTCCCTTGAGGTACTTCTAGACACTGCTCAGGTCCCCTCTCAGCCTTCTCTTCTCCAGGCTGAACAGGCCCAGCTCCCTCAGCCTCTCCTCA